GGACAGTTTAGCACCAGTTAAAATGAATGCAGTACTGGTTATTTGTGATTTTTCTCGACCAGTTGCATGCTAAGGTAGAATCTACAAAGCTTTGTCTTTACTGAGGAGTGATAATGCGGGTGCTTGCTTAATGTAGTGCTCTGGACAAGCTCTCTCCTTTGCAATGAAGACAAAGATGAGATGTATATAAGTAGAATACAAAAAGAGAAGGAACAAAAAGGCAAGGTATGGTTTGTTCCTTAACTACTTTGTAACTACATAATCCTTTTGAGACAAAAATGTTGTTTGGAAAGGACAGTAACAAGCTACAGAAATAGTTGAGACAAGGTCAAGTAGTGATCTCACATCACCATTTTCTAGCTAACAGTTGCTGAATATGACCTACGCGTGTTGTTGTGTCTTCTGTAAATGCTTTTTTAGTTTTGGCTGTCCTAGGCTTGAATAAGTTGTGACTGCGAAAGTCTGCACCATTCCTTTCACTTAGGCTTCTCTTTCCTCTTTACACACACTTTTGTTTTTGGCAAACCACTTTTGTAAACATACAGTCATCTCAACATTTTTTATAGAGCACAAGATGCTAACACATCAACAGGCAGTTTTATAGGAGAGTATGATTTTATACAGTGTAGTGGCATTGGCAGCTTCTCAGACTGGCACTTGATACCTTAATTCAGCTTTTCTCACTTTTTATTTTTACTCCTTAATAAAAAGATGCCCTCTGAAAACATATTTATTGGAATGGTATCAAGGTACTTTTTATTTACAAAATTTTTACTAGTTTATAGACATCTTCATATGTAAACCTATTTTGCATTTATCTCAGTAGATGATGGTATCCATCTTCAGCATTCTATTTTGTGGGATTTTCTACGTTCATGTGTGTGACACGTGCTGGAAAAAAAAAATACAAAGGCAGGTTCTTGCCCTGCTATGCATCCTCAGCAATAGATGACAGTAAGGAGTTCACAGCTAAGCAGTTGCATATGTCTTCTTAGAGCAGCCACAATAATTTTGTTATTGTTTTAGCTTTTTAATACATATTTCACCTGTGAAATTTTGAATGGATAAATATTTTTCATGAGACAATGGCAGGGCACTGTGTGTTAAGCTGAAGTCTCTGACCCCTGCCATTTTATGAATAAAAAGTGACAAGAAACCTCTTGCCTTACTCAACATGATTAATCACAACAGTGATTTAGCAATTTCATATGTCTTCATCTACATCAGGATTCCCTGTAGGAACATGTGCTGTATCAGTCAGTGAGAAATGCAGTGCAGATACTGGACAGGAATGTAGTTTCCAACCAGAATGCATTCCACCTAGAAATGGATTTTAGGGCAGTTTAGACTATATTCCCGTACTTACCAAGAATGCATTATTATTAAATATTGTAGATTTTATTGACATATTTGTTGCCATGTTATCTGATCATGAGCTGAATATGTAAGAATGATGTTGTGATTGTAAATGGAGTTCAGGAAGGGGGTCAGAATCAGTCCAGTCTCTTTCTGCTACACAGCACCTAATATCAACTCTATTTGCAAATTCAGTATAATGACTCACAAGGAACTAGAGTCAGAGATGAAAAGGCCAGCAAGCTATAAACAAGAAGATAAAAAAGGAGGGGCCCTGGAGTGGACTGGGGAATTATTGGGAACTACCATTCCTTCCCTGTTGTGATGTCTGTCTTAAGCATTAGGTTAATAATATCAGTAGAAGTAGTAATGTGTATCTCCAGGTATGCAGAGCATCCAGAATACAGACAACATGATGTGCACCACAGAGAGTTCGTTCTGCCAGAACGTAAAGCCTAAGTAGGCAAGTGGTAGAGATGATACGACTCGTCTGACATTGTGCAGAGAGCTGGGAATAGAATCCATGTCACCGAAGTCCATGTTCAGGTTGACTCTAATGTAGGCTCTGTATGGCCTTCAGTCATCAGAGTTTATCTAATGGAGTTCTGCACTTGGAATAAAATCCACCAAATTGGCAGGTGGGGAGAATTTTGATGATTTTGCTTCATGTCCAGCATGTCCTAAACCTCTAGGTGTGGGGGTTTGGATTCATCTTGCCTGACTCTAGAAGTCTACACTGCAGTGGATGGTCCTACTACATTGTTCATCAGGTCTGTTTTAGATGGTTGCTTGGGGACAAAACAACTCGTGTAACAACAGCAACTTGGTTAAAATAAGGTCTAGAAAGCTACTTCAGATGTAGAAGACTACACAGTAGGTACCTAAAGATTAGTAAAAGGAATCTCCATCTCCAGTGCTAATTGTCATCTCTAGAGTTTCCTAAACAGCTCTCCATGGGGAGTCCTTGTATACTCACAAAAATCCTGGTATACGTTTTAGGTACTTAGCACCTTTGTGTTTTGGATATGGGTACGGAGGTGAGCAAACTCCACTTAAATCTCCTGAGTGCCTTGATCCATTAATTGTGCTCTTGATTTCACAAATTACAGATGGCCAACACAGGCACAACTATCATAATTTTTCTTTTTAAAAAGTGCTGCTGGGGAGAGCATTGGAGCTTAGCTTAAACACTCTGGATACTCTGGTGGTGGCAAGTGAGTAATTTTTAGGATTTATAATACTTTGGTTTTTCATCTCAAATAGATATTCATCAACATGGTACATGTGGGAAATATATCAAGAGTCAAATACACCATTGCATCTATTTGTCTGGTTCCACTTGGGAGCCTCAAGTCTTTATCTTCAGGACAGAATAATTGCAATAGTAATTGTAAGGAAAACTGTTGTTGAAAGTTATGGGGAAGGAGTCAATCTATAAGGAACAGGAACCGGTGCCTAGTCCTACAAGGTTTATTAAAGCCTATCTGTTATCTTAAATTTTCTCATAATAATAAGGCCTAAGAATATCTGCTTGGTTTAAAGAGACGCAGAGCACTTGTCTTGTTACTGAGCAGTCTTGAGGACTAGCTCCATGTGAATACTAATAGTTTAGTATTAGTTTCTAAATAATATCATATTTGTTCATAAGAAGCCCTTTTAAACTTTAGAAGTTTGAGATTCCAAAAAGCTCATTTTTAATATCCTCATGTTGCCCTTTTCCTAAATGTTTTCGGAAGTATTGATAATAAATTTCATTTTAGTCATTATTGGCCAGACCTATGGGGTGTTTTTGCTGAATACTGTATGAGCTTCAGTGAATGTGTCCATATGCATGTGCTGTCCCCAACACACTTAGGACAACAGTTGAATCAGTTCTGATATGTGCAAACCATTGTCCTCTGTACAAAGAGAATTTGAAGCCTAGATGAGTGGAATGGTGTTCTAGAAAAGCAGCCTATTTAAATACAATTAGTGTATCTTGTTGTTCTGTGTTTATACAAATATATTGAACCTTTACCTTAAACAATGCCTCGCACAAAGTGATGTTGAGATCTGATCACTCATAGCACATAAGCACTATTAAGCGATCATTATTTATCATGCAGTATAATGTGTTTTATTGATGTGAGTGGTGTGGTAGGTATACATGTTTCTTCCTTACAATACGTGGGCCCAGTATTAGCCAGTGAGAACAATGTATTATGTAAAAAGTAAGAAAAATCTATTAAAAATGCCTACTGTATTATCCAAAGGAATTAGCATTTGCTAGATTGCCAGTCAGCCAAGGTTTTACAAGAGTTATTGTCATTTTGATTTTCGGATGAGTCATTTGGTATATTGCCCCCAAAGGCACCTCATTATGATTCAGTGCACAGCATATAAAATTGCTTAGGCTTTCGGGGCTCCATGGAAAGAGAGTGGGGGTTGCGGTGGCTCAGCATTGTGAAGCAGCAGCATTATGCTTAATTGACACCTTTGATGTAGCCCTAAGACAGCACCTGCACCTCCCACTGCTGCTCTCAAGACGTCAGCCTTACGCAGAAAAGGCTTCTGCTTATGAATCCTGCATTGCATTCAGCTCACTCTGTGAGCAGCCCCAGCTATCCTTAACTAATCCCATTGCTTCTCAGTTTGGCTACAGCTTGGCTTAGTACAGAGCAGGAATTTTGCTGCTTGCTATTATCAGGTTAAACAGTAAGATTTTGTCCATGTTAGAACTCATAGAAGGTAAGTCAAATGCCTTGTTGATATCCTAGTATGTAAATATTCTCCTAAGATTCAGAATCTGGGAATCTGATTGTCGATTCTTTTTTTCCTGGTGCTGACAAATGTGGACTGTGAATTAACAGTTGCTTGTTTAAGAATATTTACATATATATGTGATACAGGCTTTGTAGTGTTTCTATCAGTGCTTCAGTGTGAACATTATTGATAGCCTCTCGTGTGATTACTTTGTAGTAGAATTCTGTCCTCTGCTGGTATTGTTTTGTTAATTTAATGGATAATGTCACATGCATGCAAAAGATGCTTCTGAAATGATAGGCACTGACATATGTGAAGGAACTTATTTATTGGAGAAAGTGATGCTTTGCTGTAAGTCAGACTTGAGGTGTTACATCCAATTTATTTGCCTCTGGAAAGCCCTTCTGGGTTAAGTCTGAGGTGATGTTTGGGTCAGATAGTAGTGCAAAAATCTCTTCAAATGAATGAGTGAGGAACAGCAAGCAGCTGATTTGTTCTTGCAAGCAGCACTGCTTTTTATTTTTGGTGGGTAGCACTTGATGGAATGAAAAGGTTTACATATAGCAAGTGTCTGTTAAGGTTAACAAAGCACCTTGCTCCCGATCACTTTCAAGCACAGGAACAACACAGTTTAAGAAAACATGATCGTGTTCTCTGCCATTGACTAAACAGTGTTTTCAGGTTTGTTGATTATTTGCTTGCAGTCTGTATAAAAATTGGCTTAATGAGCCAAAACTCTGAGGAAACAGTTCTTTTGTGAATTACCTTATTTAATGTTTAAAACATTAAGCAAAAGCAAGATAATCTGTTCAACAAAGAAAGAAAAGAAATATGTTGATTTAACTATTTCTTTGCTTTTAATAATGCCTTGTATTTATTTTTTCAATTTATTGTCCTTTTAGTGAATGGAACCCCTGGTAGCCAGCTTTCTACTCCCCGCTCTGGGAAGTCTCCGAGCCCATCTCCCACCAGCCCAGGAAGCCTACGGAAACAGAGGGTAAGGAAATAAGGAAACTGATTTCTGAGCGTGGCTGGGGACAATCCGGGATAGCCATTATCCGATAGCCTTCTCCCCACTGATTCCTTGTGTGTAGAGTCGTAGGGTGGAAGAGCCTGGCTACAGTCCTTGTTGTGTTTGTACAACAGTCTGAAGTGGAATACAACTGTTCTGTGTCTGTCAAGATGCTAAGTATGTTGGGCATTGGTTTATGCTTGAGGGGAAAAACAGGGGTATCTTTCTCCTTTCTTACAAAACTTTTTTTTTTATTTTAGTTTCTTTTTCCAGACATTTCACAACTGGAAGGAAATGTTCATGTTGTCAAAAACATTTTTTTTGTTCTTAATTTGCCATGGGCATTATGTCACTTGCAAAACCTACAAACAGCTTTGATTTTGAAGCAAGGTGAAGGAATGCACTGTGGAATTTAGCTGTGGATTAGCTGTGATATCATAGCCTTGTGCAGTGAAGATACTATCAGTACCAAGGCAGCACAAGACATGTCAGTCACTTTGCTGGACCAGAGTTGTTAGTAGCTGTGGGTTCCTACTAGTTATCATGTATAGAGGAATCTACACCGTACCTAAGCATCCAGAATTAAGGTAGTACCTATGTTACTGCTGTAACCCTCTAACAAAATATTAATCGTTCAACCCAACATGCTGATTTAATTAATTGTATCTGTTCAAAAGCAATGGGACAGATGTCTGTGTATCTTCTCTTCCTCTATTTTCTAAACTGTGATCAGTTCTCAATGAAAGCTTCCCTAAGGCAGTACTCTGTATCTCAGACTTGTTTATAAACACAGTTTGAACACATGCTTTTTCTGCCTTTTTGGTTTTTAAATAAGGACATAATTTGTGTCTCTCAAAATAAGGGGATTATGTACAGAATTGGCAGTGCTTGACTTTAGGGCCTGGTGCAGACCTGATTCCCCAGATATCCAGATCAGGAACAGCTGTAGCATGGCACAACTCCCTTCTAGCCTGTGTACCCTTCTTCATGTCTGGTGGATACCAGGGAGATCAGGAATTGTGCATGCCCAAGTCTTACCTCAGGCTGGGATACAGCCATGGGTTTCTGCCGTGACTTGTTTATAGATATGGAAGCCGGCTGTGATCTTGCAGTACAGAGATAGCCAGTGAGCGGCAGCTTGAAGCCTCAGGGTAGTGTCATGGTTTCCAACATCTGGTACACAGAGAGTAAAGATGCAAGTTTCAGTTGGGTAAGCTGGTACTAAACTCTTCTTGAATGCAATGTCTTGGACACCTGTTTGTTCTTACTCTCAAAGCTTACTAATGAATCATTAACAAGTCACTGAAGAGGGAAGAAAGAGCCTTCCAAATGAATTATACATTGGTGATGTAAGGCTGTCTGTTTAGATGATGATATCAGTATACAGTGGATTTTCATTTGCTGTAAGGCTGACTCTTTTCATTGGTAACATTCCTAAACTTCCTTCCCCACCACTGATGCTTTTCTCCCCACAGTGAAGAAATGTTTTTCTGTTAACGTTTGTGGATGGGTGAGTGGGAACCATGTGGTCAGCACCATTAGACACAAAGTGTTTTTGTCCACAAGGTTTCTTACTTTCAAATGTGAAGAGGAGAGTGAATGGGCTGCTTCTTATCTCGGTTCCCTATGTGGAAGTGTAACAGGGTCATTGAGTGGCAGTATTATGGATGCAAAGGGCTGTGTAGTGGTAACATAATCACGTTTCTAATTGTACAGAAAATAAATATTGAAGTAAACTACAGGAGAGATAAGACATTGTTAAAGAGTTGAATTCTCTTCTCAGATATTCATATCCAGTCCCCTTGACCTCGGTAGGGGACCTTTTATGCTTGTCTGGCTTTATTTTAGACAGATTTTTTTTTTTTACCTGACCAAACATGGAGTACATTCATGTAAAAATAGATTGCAATCATATAAAAATGCATTGCAATAATATTATTTAGGTTACAAAATCAACTGCTCAGAAGTTCAGGGATGGAAACTTTACACTTGCTCTGAGAATTTATTTCACCTCCTTTCATGTTTAACTTGTGAAGTGAATGATCTAGAAGTTCAGTGTAAAAACATATGATTGTGTTGTTAAAGGTCATAATATGTATTCCAATGACTAAATTAGTTCTATGAACAGCCATTAAACAGTGCTTACTAATCTTAATTTTCTTATTAGCGGTATAAATGGCGTTCTGTTTTGGTTTAGTACCATCTTTTGTATGTTGCCATTTAAATTTTATTTAAAGGACAGGTTATTTTATGTACCATACTGTCATAAACCAAATTTGAACCCAAGGCATTTTGCTTTGTCTTCAATGGCTTCAGCTACAGGGCTGTCGAGCCAGCTGCAGGAGAAGGTTTATTCCCTAGGAGGTTGTTGAAGTGTTGGTATAATGTGATAGACCTACAAGAGAGAAGAGGGGACTGATTTCAGTGCCCGTCTTGTCCCCACTGTTGAGAGGTGAGGTATTCCTGCCCCAAAAGAAGAGTGTTGGCTGCTAGAGCCATGGTCTGGGGTTCAAGGTGATGGCTAGGTTTCTCACTGGTCTGAATTTCTCTCTTTACATGGAGTTTGAGGGAGCTACTGCTTTAGAACTGAAATAAGATAATGGGTCCTGGAAATGCCAGCTCAGCTTTGTAATTAATTTTTTCTCTGCCCCTCTCTTCTTCTGGTTAGAGTTAGAGGAGTGCCTGCTGTGCCATCAGGTATGTGGGATGTCAGGGGTATGTATTGGGTCTGGAAGACGACAGGCAACGTTGATTCTAGCATAGCCTGATTCCCCTTGATGTAACTAATCAATCAGCTCTTCAGCATCCCCATCCAAGTGCTATGAGGGAGTTGTAGGCTTGGTCCGTCAAAATGCTTAGGGGTCTGGGCAGGCTGCCAGTGTTTTTCTTGGGAAATACATGTGAGAGGAAGTCATGCTTTTGAATTCAGAGGCACAAATGCAAGGTACTTCCACAAACTGAGGGATTTCTCTTTGTGAACAGTGAAGACCTGTAAAAATAGTAGAGATGGTAGAATTTTCCAAAGAAAATATTCCTTCTCATTACGGGGTGTATTAGGCAACTTAAAATAGGGATTGATCAATCTTATTTACTGACATTTCGTCATTCACCTTTAAAAAAAAAAATTCTGGCCTTTGATGGAAGGCTTTCCATTGATGTAAATAAAGCCAAGAACACTACGTGATACAAGTACTATACTAATGAAAACGGTACTCTTGTAACCCTACAGGTAAAATTTTCTACCCTCAAAAGCCAGAACATAAAAAGATAAAAGTTTCATCCTTTCTCACTTCATATGTACATGGCCGAGTTGTTTCCAGAAATTCAGAAATCAGTGAAAGTTATATATTGATTACCTTGGGCAAAATTCAGTCTATGTCTGAGGAGAGGAAGATTTTAAAGGTTAATTTCATAAGTGTAATACAAAGACTTGAAAGTGAACTAGGAATCATTTGGACTTTTATGGTTTTTTCAGCTTCTGAGTGTTTAAACTTGCAGCCTGTGTACTAAAGTTATGCTTTCTTATAGTTTAATTCTTTCTTTATATATATTCTTAAATAGGAAATTAAGATTCTTGGTTTTGAATTGTTATGTACTTAATTGTGTATTTCCGCAGAGGATGAAAACATCTGAAATTCAGGTTTATAGCAGTTGAAGTAGACAGTTATGGTGTTGCACATGCATATACTTCCTACCACAACAGAGTACGGTTAATGATGCAGACTCAGAAAAGGTGACGTGGCACTCATAACAATAAATATATGTAATAGCAACCCCCACATTTTATTTAACTAGCCTTTGTAATAGTTTATGAGCTTGTTTTTCCACTGTCTTGTAGTGAGAGTCATTACTTCAATTAGGGTGGAAATGTTCTATAATTTATACCTGATTTTCCATTGCTTGCCATTATTTTAAATGTTTTTTCTACTTCCCTAGAGACTACAACCTATAGAATAATAAAAAAAAATAGATTTAAGGTACATCTTGACTAATCAGACAAAGAAGTTGAATTCTATGTATATAAGGATTTTTTGAGTTGTATGTGGCCAAGGAGTCTTATTCATTGAGCAAGTTTTGTCTTTTTATTAATCTATGCAAAATAATGAAGAGATTCTCCTCATATTATTCAGAAATACAGCTCTTTGGCTAATTATAGGCAAGGAAAATTCTTGCAGAAAGGAAAACTTTAAAAAAGTTTCAAGTATTTATAAGTATACGAAAGGGCATAGAATATGATCCTGAAATCTTGTGCATGATTTTAGTTTAAAACAACCATAGAGTTATAAAATTAACCACAAAAATACTCCCTTAATACTAAAAGTCAGTTCTCACAAATATCTTCTTTGTAAGTTCTGAATGCATATTTTTTTTATATTCAGAGGAGCGAGCAGTCACCTGGAAGATTCAAAAGTTTGGTGTGTTACCCTCACTGTCAATTTTTTTTTTTCTGTACTATATATTAGAAATTCCAAAACTGTATATGCTTAACAGGAATTTTAATAATTAACTAACTAGTTACTATTCATAATGAGATGGTCTCATCTGTTTAAAATTCTTCTTTTGTCTAGATTGTTCACAACAAAATAGAAATGTATTTTTCAGTCTGCCACTCTAACGTGTCTGCTACTGTATGCACACATGCCCATTGCCAAAATACATGCAGAATAAGCATTCTAGGGAATGAAAATGCCTTTCAGGGACTTAAATCCCCTTTATATCATGCCTGCAAATAAAACATAAACCTGCATAGATTATTGAGATCCTTGTAAATTTGAAATGTATAAAGTATTCGTATTAGGTAGTCCTTGTTTTATAGTATAGCTTTTAGATTTGTTTATTTTTTGCCTCAGTTATCTTCCCGTGATTAAAAAATCCAAAATCCCCCGAACCAAGGTCAACTCTAAAGCTGGCTCCATCAGCCTTCCCATTCTCATGTGTTCTTTTATTTTGTCTTGTAATTGTTTTTTTATTTCATAAATATGTTT